CACGTTATCATCGGCTACGATTTGTCTGTAGATGATTTCGGGGAGCAATACGAACTTTTTCATGTCCTACAGGAGAGATGCTAAATGCTCGACAACTAGAGGTAATATGAAGAAAAGGAATTCGACACCATGTTTTTTCAATATCGATTTCTTGCTCCTCCCCGTCGCACTTGAATTAGCAAGAATACGAATGACTCTCTTATGCGATTGCAATAGATGGATCTGCTCGGAGGGAAGGTGCAGAGAGTTTAAGAGTACGTTCTTGCATATCTCGCAAATGACCCTCAGCTGCCCTTCAGTCACGCATGTTATAGCGCACTGAATCTCTTCTCGAGTCGCCTGTGCTAAATATAAGATGAACGGCCAGTGTCTTCTGATTAGAGCGAAAGAATTTAAAGTTTCTTTAGCCTCTCCGTCGTCGTCCATTGCTTAGGTGTATCAGGGTAGTCTACGAATTGAGTTTCATACTCTCGTTTTCCACTCTCTGGATTTACGCGAGAATCCAAGACTCGATCGATTTCTTGCTCCTCCCCGTCGCACTTGAATTAGCAAGAATACGAATGACTCTCTTATGCGATTGCAATAGATGGATCTGCTCGGAGGGAAGGTGCAGAGAGTTTAAGAGTACGTTCTTGCATATCTCGCAAATGACCCTCAGCTGCCCTTCAGTCACGCATGTTATAGCGCAATGAATCTCTTCTCGAGTCGCCTGTGCTAAGTATAAGATAAACGGCCATTGTCTTCTGATTAGAGCGAAAGAATTTAAAGTTTCTTTTGACTCTCCGTCGTCGTCCATTGCTTAGGTGTGTCAGGGTAGTCTAGTCAGTTGATTCCTAGTCAGGATTCCTCCTGACTAGGAATCAACTTCCCCCAATAGAAAACCCCGGGGATGTGATCGTCACTGTCAAGTTCAGTTAGTTTATATAGACGGGGAACTGTATCCATCATCCGACCAACTCTATATAGTCGTCGGGTGTTTACTGGGAAATATCCGCGGGCGAAACGAAAAGAGTTCTCCTTGGTCCTAACGACACTACCCTCTTTGATATTAACTACGTCATCTCGTTATTTTTGCAGCTGTTCTAATTCTGTCCGCCTCGCTTTGTTCTCTTCCACTGAAGCATAAACCAGTCGGAATAGGGACTCATTATCCAACCCCGTCCTCCCCTCGTGCACTTGTCGGGGTGAAAGTTTCCCTTTGAAGGCAGAATGTCATTCATCGCCTTGACAATTTGCGCTAAGATTGAATCCCAGGAAAACGTGTTCTTGTCGTGTAGAATCCTAAAGAGACGTTTCTGTAACGTTAGATTAGCTCTCTCGGCAAGTATCGATTTTAAACCCGTGCCCGTGCTGTACCGTTCCATTCGATACTTGTTCAAAAGAGCATCCATGGTCCTATTGTAAAACTCTCGACCGTAATCGACGTGTAGTTTTTTGTAACCGGGCATGTCTCGAAAAATCTTCTCCATAGCATTTGCTACCTCCTCTTTCGACATATCCTTGAGGGCAAATACCCTGACGAATCGAGAGAAACCGTCTATCGTAAGTAGTATGAACTTGAAGCCCACGTTTTCACTCGCCCACTTTTGCATGTCGATGAGATCTGCCGGAAGGATCAAGTGCGGTCCACCAGCTAGGAACTTGCGCCGATCGAATTTTTCTTTCTTTTTGACAAACAACGTATACGATGGTTGAGATTTTAGAAATTCGAAAACATCCCGTCTTTTCAGAGACGGAAATTTTTTCCTGGCAAACGTGTATGGCCTCTCGGGGCTGGCATATCCCAGCGAATGGTTTGGATTACAACTGGAGAGAACATATCCAACAGTTGGGTTGGAATACCTTGACAAAAACTCACTTCACACTTTGGATTTTGCCGAATAGCAGCTGCTTTCATCTCCTCATAGATCTTTTGATATTGTGTGTAACAGGTTATCAAGCGATTTAACGTTGTTGGTTGCGTACGATGGTGCAAGTAGGATTTTATAAAGAACGACTTACCCGTACCGGGATTCCCAACGAGAATCACATTACTACTGGGGTGAAAATGAATATCTTTCTCTGTCAAATTTATTTCCATGTTCGCTCTCCGTGAAAGTGTGAATGTGTGTGTGTGTGTATGTGTCCACGACTCGCATTGTTGCGGAAATGACATCGAGAGGAATATCTCTGTAAATTTAAAGGATAAAAGAGTCGTTTCGCCTTTGAGCAAAAGGAGGCGTGAAATTCCACCTTAAGAAAAGCAACAGCTGGAAAACATTCATATAAATTTATTTGGAAGACAGCGCTGAAAAACTATTTTCGCAGCAATTCATTTTTCTTTCGCAAGCAGACAAGAAATTCACATCATATGCATGACAAATGAAAAATCGCGCGAATGCGAAATGAAGTTTTACTAGAGATGGAGAGAGGACGCCAGGGAGAGAGAAATGAAATACATGTGATGAGCTAGCAACTGGAAACAATTCCTACAAAATTAATTTTGAAGACAGTGATAAAAAGTTAGCGATACATTTTTTTTCGCGAATAGTCGAAAAAGATATCATCTCAAGCAATACAAAGAAAACGAATACCCCGCAAACGCGAAATAAAGTCTTATAAGAATGGGAGAAAGGGAAAATATTTGTGAAAGGCTAACAACTGAAACAATATATTACAATATTCATTTCGAACACAGTGAACAAAAATTTGTTTTTCACAATAATTCATTTTCTTTTGCAAATAATCAGTATAATTAATTCACACCATATACAACGAGAAAGAGAAAATCAGGCTCACAAGAAATGAAGACTTACAAGATAGGGCGAGAGAGAGGGAGAGAGAATAAGGCAAAAAAAAATATTTAGAGTTTCTACAAGTTTCAACAAAACAAGTTTCTACTCGTTAACACATTTGTCCTAGACCTCCTTACCCTCAGCAACTTCCGGGATGCGTTAGTGACTATATGGGAGTGTTTTGAACTCTTCGCTGGGAGTTTGATAGAGGTATACTTTATCATCGTACATGACCAGACCGTGACGTTTCTGTTTGAACGTATAGAGTTGAAGCTTGTCCGAACGGATCGATACGTTTGTCACAGAAAAGTTCCCACCCGTTGACAATGCCTCTCGATACTTGGAATGGCAGAGGACATCCATTGTCCTCGAATTTCGATTCATACCTTTCGCTCGAACAATCTGTTCCCCGTTTTCACCCGCGAACAAAATTCAGTACATCTTTGGACGCAGAAAGATTAGCTCAGAAATGATCCTACCACAAGTTTCGTCTTTGAATTTGCCCTGACGAGATGCATTTTCTTGAGAATGCAACGGATGGTTGGGAGGGAGAGAAGTCAAAGTGGTTTTTTATTGTCTACAGAGAGGAGCCTTCGCTCGTCTCTGTAAGTTGCCCTCGATGTAGTCCCTCAACCAGGCCTTCTGCTGAAACGCGAGAATCTGGTGTATTTTCGTTATCCGAACCCCCAATTCGAGATACAATTGAAGTGTGAGACCATGGACAATGTAATGACAGTGCGGACCGAGGTGCGCCACCAGTTTTTGAGTTTGACACGGGAGATGTATGGTGCCGAGAGGGTTATCTGCACCACGCACCTGCTTTCGATCATACGCGCTTAGCATTTCTATCTTGATTATCATGACTTCAGGAGCGGGAGGTAACAATTGCAAGCGATCGTGTACTTCCTTGGGGAAGTCCAGATCAACGTCTAGAATGTAACCCGTTTCATCCTCGGAGTTCAATTAATGGATCCTCACCTCTGAAATTTCTTGCTCGTTCAGAAAGCGGAAGCCTCCACACGGAAGTTTAAAGTTCCACATGACAAATGCATACAGACTGTTGCAATCAAAATCTAAAATAAAAGAGCTCTCTTTAGTCTCAACATATGCTGCCCCCATGTATTTATTGATTGCTTTGCTGAACTTTTTCGGAGCGATGCACATACCACCGCGAATCCCAGCTTCCCACATTAGGTGTTGATCTATTTCGGTAACGAGATCTAACTTAACACGACTGGTCTTTAGTGCTGCTGCCATGCTCAACGAGGGTACACAGACAGCCTCGAAAGGTAAAGTAACAAGGATATGAGGGTGGTTTTTGGACTGGTAACTTCACCGTCACCTTACCGTCAAAATGTGTCTGTGTGACTTCGTGAAAGGACATTTGCTGCAGCGCAGAGGAGAGACGAGGTCACACGGACACGTTTTGAAGGTAAGATAACCAGGTAAGATGACGGTGAAGTTACCAGTCCAAAAATCACCCTCATTGCCTTGTTACATTACCTTCCAAGGCTGTGTGTGTACAACCAAGCTTAATCCAACATCACAATTTTCTTGTAGCTTTCATTGGCCAGGTGGCGCATGCATCATTTCAGGCACTAATATATATTTCCCTTGTTTTGCTGATGACATGAAGGTTGATCTTGTGTTATCATTACATTTTGAGATCCTCTAGAATGACCCTTCTACTAGTTCCCTTTGCCTCTGACGGTCGATATGGAAGTCGTTTTTTACTAGGTGAATTCACCAAGTCCGCGAAACAAGTTACTTTGAGCAGAAACATCTTATTTTGTAACGGTATTGCGTCAGGCTTCTTGTCTTAAATTCACGCCCTTCTTTGTTTCTCGCCACTTTACTTCATGAATGATTATATTTAAGACATATATTTTGGGAACGCGGCATCTTTCCAAGGAACACGAAAAAAATTGTCATTTTCTGTGAGTAACCTTCCGTGGAAAGACGATTCACGCACGTCTCCGCGACATAATCAACGCCAACGCAATGGCCCCTTAATTTCCATGACGAAGTTCACTTCTTGCCCAACAATTACGTGTCACACGAAAGCTACTTATACATCTCCATTCCAGTAAACACATTTTGGAAATGGTCAAATAATGTGCGGCAGCCTGTATTACTGGCATGAGTGACTTGAAAATTACGTCCATCCTGCACTCCACGCTTCTTAATGAAAAAATGGAAGAGGTTGGAATTCACACACGATTGGAATTATAGGATTGGTGTGATTGGAATGATACCTTTCGCATTCTCATTCACGATTGAAGAAGAATAGTTGCGTTCTCCTGCACAAAACGTGCTTCTGGAAATGGAAGCAGGGTGGTTCCCTGTGATTTCGTAGATTTTATTGCGGCATTCACGCTTTGGTATGACTGTCAGTTGCACCTCAGTCAAGACATCTGTTGCTAGGTTCGAGGCGTCTCTTCCCCAGCCTGCCACCTGAATTTAAGCCGATAATAAAAATTGAAGAGACAACCGGAAAAAATTGGGCATCCAAGTGAAGGCGTCTTACCTTTCCTGGATGAGGACCGCAAAATCTATCTTCAGCACCATCTAAAATGTCATCAGAAATGTCATCATTGAATGGAAGACAGATCAATTGAACCCATTCGTTTATATTAGCCGAATCGTGGAGTTTCATCAAGGCGATGTCCGACTCCCAGCCATTGTATTTGTCATGCACGAATATCTGAGTCACCTGAAACCAACGGAGAATAGTCCACCGTGATGAACATAGAGTGCATTTCCACCTGGAAATAGCACGAAATCCATTTGGAGACAAACCTTCATCTTTTGAACGAATTCATCGTCCTGGGACATATCTCTAAAGTGCTTGCCGAGATAGACGAGGAAATTGTTCACGTCGTGGCCCACGACGCAATGTGCTGCGGTGAGAACCCAACGCATTCCAATCAGCGCTCCTCCACAAATGATATCTCCAAAATTCACATGATAGATTGCAGCTTGCCAGGGCCACGACCCAGGTGCTGCTTCCTTTCCTCCGCGAATCAATCGCTGAGCCGATGGAACCAGGTTTCCCCTTCGGCCACAAACTAAAAGCGCAGGAAAATCTACCCTGCAATTCTCTCATCTTACAAGTTCTACCGACCGCTGGAACCATTTTTCGATGAAAAACAAACCAGGTTCACAGAGGGGGTCAGGGCCAGTCCATTCTTCATTCGCTCCACATGTACGAACTCGTGGGCCTCGTATAGTATAGTAGTTGTCGCAAATATAGCTCACTTTACTTCCGATTAGGTATTTACCACCTTGAATGCATTTTGTTTTGTTTTTGGATCTAAAAGAAATACGTGCTTTGGTCAGTGGTCGCTTCCAACACTCCACCACTAAAAGCGGTTTTGGGTGCGTATTGCATTTGGGTGCAGCGGATGTTCATTCCAATTATATCTAACAAGAAACGTGGCGCAATAAGATTACTTTTTTTTCTAGCACAATATAAGTTTCATCCTGAAATGTAAACAAACACATTTCAGTTCCCATAGTGATCATGCGAGCATGTTCATGATTATATGATACCTCTGGAATGTGTAATTTTATGAAGATTAGGAGGGCGGGGAATCCCACACATTCATGGAAAATATTAGAGCAGGTTAGTATCTCTACCTCCGTTCAACATTAGAGCATGAAAGAATGCGAAAGCTCCCGTGTATGATGGGAGGGGGTGGTCCACATCCGCATTCGGTCACCCACATCTACAAATGGCAATAGCATTTTCCCGATCCTATAATGCTTTACTACACTTGATCTTTTTTAACGGAATTATATCATGCATGCGCCGAAGATGAACTTACTTCGCTGGGACATTTTTTAAGCATTTCCGACAGATCAAGATCTTGCAATGTTGTCCCGTTTTTGCATTCCCCGCTTACTTTTTTTAACAATCCTGGAATGCATGCGAACCGGGAGGAGCCACAATCGCAATGGATGGGATTACCTGGAAAATAGAAGGCAAATTTGCAAGGAAAAAGAGGAATGAAGCTGTAAGCAGTTGGACACTCCTAGCATTCACCATCTAGGTGGAGAAAACCATCTCCGTGGGAAAATTCCATCAAGATCCGGTGGAGGATTCGCCCGTCAATTGCAGCTATCTTATTACGTTCCAGGTGCACTTTCGTGTGGGCCCAAAAACCTGGAATAGACATGGACCTTACTCCACTTTCATTAGAAACTTTGAAATGATTTGATCAGTGGAGAAGCTTTCCATGGAAAATATTGAATATTTCATGCGGAATCCCTCACTTCTCATGATTAAAGCTTCTTTGAATCACGTCCACTCCAAGGACATGGAACACAATTCTCAAAATTTAAACTTCTCTCTCTTTTAGAAAATTGTTAGTATTTAATTCATCACCAAATAATATTGATTCTGTCACGAAGTAGTAACGATTCATCGCCAGATTTTATTATTTCGTCACTCGATGAATTTACATCACCAAATGACTTCATCACCAGACCTAATGAATCTTACACCAAATTCTCCTTTACTATTTTCACCCACCAGATGCCATGAAATGACCACCAAATTGTATTGAGTTAACACCAAGTCATTGTCACATTTCATGTGTCAAAAGAAATAAATTTTTCTTCTAGCAGACCTGCAGGGCAGAACACACTGACTATCCCTGCTGTGAATTAGCATTCGGAGTGAATGTTTGCCAGTCTTCATCCAAGCAGGGCACGTGCATTCAAAATTTGAAGCTCTCACAACTCAGAGGAAGTGTCTTGTTCTCTTTGAGTTCTAATGCTCCAGTTTTCTGATTAGATATTCTTGTGCACTTTTCCGAACCTTGTCCCTAGTGGGGTTGCCGTCACTGCAGGCAAAGAAGGCGTCTCCTTGTTTCAATGTCCTCAAATTCTCTAGTTGCCATAGCACCTCTTATACATAGAGGAAGCAGAAGCTGGAAGTCCGTGCCGTTCACAACCCCCTTCCATGTACACAAGCGGAAGGAGACCAGTTACACAGGTCCTCCCCGGAAGGTCCCCCAAAAGCATGATATGTTCTTACAATCTCATCTTGCCATCATAAGTCTAACTGGAAATAAAGAAAAATCCTTTCCTTAATAGGGTTTAAAATGCTGAAAATGTCATAAGTTTGATGATGAGAACAATTTTTTGGTATGGAATAATGCACATTTGGTGATAGCAGCACCTGGGATGGTGCAATCATATTTGGTGAAATCAAAAATAAGAATTTTGTGACTGGCTCCAATTTGGTGACGATTCATTGTGATCTGGTGATGGAGTCAATATTTTTGCGGGCTTAAAATATTTGGTGACAAGTTCACTATTATTTGGTGGGCGAATACATATCTTTCTTAGAAAATTGGCTTCGAGAGATATCATGCTTTTGTATGTAACATGACACACGGAGACACGGATTATGTTTTCACTCTAAAATGAGCAGTAGGAGAAGGTGATTAACATGATAAGGGAAAGGTGAAAGTCAACTATCCTATTGCTTATTTTCGATTTCCTATTTTAGTAACTGGGAAATCAAAGAGCAATTTCATTTAATCTTGATTTAAAAAATGCGACATAAGGAACGATGGAACGACCCTTTTGTTGACACTTGTTCTTTGAAGAATCAGTCGTAAAGGGGATTCAATTATCAAATGATGAATCGCAATACATTTAGGTCAAATGGTCTCCCAATGTAAGCATTTTCAATCCGACTCCATGATTGGAAAAATTGAAATTACAAATCCCGAGATAGGTATCAACTCAATTGAATTTAGTGTCACTCTAAAGCCTGAAAATGGGAAACGCGCTTCATGGTATTAAGACCATTAATACTCATTTCACTACCGACACTAATGTTCTGAGAAAACCGTCTGAAATACTACGAGCGATAACAATATATAAACTTAAGACTCTAAAGGAAACATTGGAAGCTTTTCTTTTCAACACGATGTAAATTCCTAATCCATTCGTTGTCGTATCTAGTTTTTATTGCAAAGGTAATCATTTCTCATGCCCTTGTAGAAGATTATAGCACATTATGCAGGCATACTACCACTGCATTCAGCGCTCGGCGCACTCTCCCGTCGCGAATTACTGAATACATGATTGAGGGGATATGAAGAGGAATTGAGGATGCTCTAAGATTCGTATCAGCAACTAAATGTGTCAAGTAGCGTCCACTTAAGGGGAAAATTACATTTTCACAGGAACTGCAACAGTATCGGATTCCGAGGTGGTCATTACCCGTCTTAGGCTAAAAAATAAAAATCTTTACATTTTTATGGACAGATGGACGCAGGAACGTGGTAAAAGAGATGTCACAAGACAGATGAGAAAAGAAACTGATGTTACATTTGGAATATCAAAGAAATCTAAGAATCGATACTCACCGTCGAACTTGAAGGCTGGGACCGACGTCAAGTTATTGCCGTTAAGATATAACTTCCTCAATTTGGGAGTTGCCCATTTGTCGAACTCCACATTCGAGATTTTATTATTACCGAGGTGGAGTTCTTCCAGGCTGTCGCTCTTGAAGGCTGGGACTGACGTCAAGGAATTGACGCTGAGATATAACTTCCTCAATTTGGGAGTTGCCCATTTGTCGAACTCTACATTCGTGATTTCATTCCAGCCGAGGTCGAGTTCTTCCAGGCTGTCGCTCTTAAAGGCTGGGACTGACGTCAAGGAATTTCTCCAAAGTTTAAGAATCCTCAATTTGCGAGTTGCCCATTTGTCGAAATCCAAATTCGTGATTTTATTTTCACCGAGGTCGAGTACTTCCAGGCTGTCGCTTATGAAGGCTGGGACTGACGTCAAGGAATTGTCGCTGAGATCTAACTTCCTCAAATTGAGAGTTGCCCATTTGTCGAACTCCACATTCGTGATTTTATTCCAACCGAGGTAGAGTTCTTCCAGGCTGTCGCTTATGAAGGCTGGTACTGACGTCAAGTAATTCCTGTAGAGCTTGAGGATCCTTAAATTGGGAGTTGCCCATTTGTCGAACTCCACATTCGTGATTTTATTTTCACCGAGGTTGAGTACTTCCAGGCCGTTGCATTTGAAGGCTGGGACTGAGGTCAGACTCAGATGTGCAAATGTGAATTCTTTTAAATTTGGAAGTTGCCTGCAAGGATAGAAAATTTGGAAGCAATTTCTCATTTTGTTATGGAGTAGACATTTAAATAACAAGAAATATATATAATTTGGCAAACTTTTTTCCTCTACCCCTCCAATTTCAATTTCAAGTTTGACACGCTGATAGTGTCTGTTGAGAAAATGAAGTATAACAAATTTCAGCTCCATGAAATATGTATTCTGAGAATGACAGCTGATGAAGGAATTGACGTTTTTCGGTTCCTTGGGCCCATGGAACACAACAATGATAATAACTCCGTTAGTTATGAATATCAAGACGTGGATATGGTATTGTTGGAAAGGGTATGAAATTCCCCATCATAAGATCTGTAACACATGGTAATGAAAGCAATGACCTTGACCCTCATGTTTAGTAATGACCTTGAAACTTGACCTGACCTTAACGTAATTTCCCGCACTCGATTTCGCTGAAATTTCAGGACCTCATCAGTTATATCTTCTTTTATACGCACCGCGAATTTCATTTCATTAACAGATATATGAGTATTTTAGTGCATCACCATCATAGGGTTTTCAAAATGTGCCAAATTACTTCCCAGAGGATGTGATTTGGTAGGTGCAGCCGTGCCCATACTGTGTGTGTCTCCAGCAGTCACCAGAACGCTAAGCTAATGATTGATGCGTATCACTTCCCATTGCGTGGGATATAACGTACGGACATTTTCTCGCCGCGATAACGTGTAATCCTGGCAAAGGTGTTTCCTAGGTGAATGTGATCAATGTCCAGGGACTGGGCAGCTAAAAGAGATTATGCGGGTATTCGATGAAGAAGGCATTGACACTATTTTAAACAGTAGATCACAACGGTCCGATGGGCGCTAGAGGCCCTTCAGAAGATGATAATTTTTATTTCGTGATTCAGGACGCCATTCAGGGTTACCACTGGACTAACGACCAGGCCACAATCTATTCGTCAGTGGCATACTTGGTGATCGATGAGGCTTTAGAATACTTTAGTTTTGTCATTTCAAGTTCATTGAGTCACGATACAGTGGCAGTCCACTTATTCATAAAAATTACTCATGGATTACATCAAAACGAGATTCATTTCACGAAAGTTGTATCCATTTTCCGACTGCTGCTCCGTGCAGTAAGAAAACAATTTGCAAACATTGCTTGCAAACATGAAGACTTCGTAATGCCAGAGAAATTGCGTTTTTTTGCAAGTTTCCACGGCTACTGCCAGAGTGACGGATTAGAAGGAACATTGAAGCGACTTGCCACAGAGGCAATTTGTGCAGAGGGCTACAAGTGATCAGTTAACGTCCCCTCTTCAATTGTATACAAGCCCAACGCAAAATATTGCTGCGATTAACTTTGTCTTCCACTCGAGAGGCGAATTATCCAATCTGGCAGATAAAATTCCGGAGCCTTTCAACGCGACAGTAGCAGTAGCAGGTACTCAAAAAGTACATGCTTTTCTTGCGTCCAACCGACCCAAGCACTTGTCAAAATACATTCCTCGGCAGTAAATGGGAAGAAAGTTAAGTTTTGAATGTCCAAGATATAGTGCAAGCTCTGTGGAATGATTTACCGCCAATTCGAAACGATTAGGACAGATTACTGTTGATAAGTGAAGCGCAAGTACAACCTCATGGTTTTGGTGATTTGTGATACCGGCACATGTTATGGTCACACATCAAATTGTGCGTATCTCTGTTAATAGTGAGAAACCCAGAATGAAATTCGCAGAGTGCATGAAGAGAAACATGACTGATGAGGTCCTGGAATTTCAACAAAATTGAGTATGGGAATTTAGGTCAAGTTCCGGTCAAATGTCAAGGACATTAAACAATTTGTAGGCAAAGGTCTTTCCTTTTATTACCATATGTTACAATCTCCTGATTGGGAATTTCATGTCCTATCCAACGATACCATATTCAGATCTTTATCTTCATTACTAATGGAGTTATGATAATTTTTGTGATTCCTGGGTTCAAAATGCAACAAAATGACCGATGATTCGATTGGCTGTCATTCTGAGAATTCATATTGTCTGGAGTTGACATTTTTGTTGCTTATTTTCTCAGTAAGTACAATCAGAATGCCACATTTAATTGAAATTGGAGAGGGTCGGGGAAAAAGCGTGCGGACTGACATGGAACCGCCCAGAAATATGTAGAAAGGGAACGCTGACTCACCAGGGCATATTGGAAGGCCATGAGGTAACACTCAGTGCTAAGCCAACGTCACGTTCATTGGTAGCATCCGAACAATCAACTGAGACATTGCCATTCGAATATCTCGTACACTTGCAGGGTTCTATGGATTGCTTGGGACAATCAAATATTCCAGACACCAAGGAGGGAAAGTACAGGAAGAGGATGGTCAATAACGGTATCATCGCAGAATTCGCTATGGGAAGGCGGCCGGAAATGTTCGGTGGTGTCTGTTCCCGTCCAAGTTCTATCTTCCTACTTGATTTAAATTGGATCCACGTACGAATACCCCAAGTATTCCTGTTGGAACGGAAGAATGCACTTTCACATGATGGCAACCACGTCAGAAAATATGTTTTACTGGAAGTGATTTCGACTGATATCAATGAACTAATTTTTCTTAAGTTTGCGATTCTTTCAAGAACGTACTACTATTCCCCGAAGAGTCGAGAACTACGGTTCTTTGAAGAAGCCATAATCAACAAATGCTGGGTTTTATTATAAACATAACTTGCAATTCAAGTGTATATTGACCTCCAAAATGCATATTACGAGGTAATGCAGGCCTCGATTGCGTGGTTAGATTTGTAATGGCATTATCTATGCCCATTGCTGAACAAGTCAGTAGCGCCTGAACATTATTGGCGTGTACAAGACGACAACTCTCATGAATATATTCATTTACGTTTTCACCGTGCCATATGTGAAGTTCAGGTCTCCAAGAGGAAATATTGAGTTTCTGCCAATGTGCAGGTCATACAGTCTATGAAAAAATAATAAAAAATGTCGTGGCTAATCTCGGGCCGGGGCTTACGCGGGGTAGCAATAGCGCGGTTGAGAACTTAACCCAATGCGCCGTCACAACACTGTATTAATTAAATGAGTTTTTTTTCATTTTTTTGTTTTAGATGTCACTCTCTGTGTCTATCAGTCAACACGGGATGCAAATCCTCGCTGACCGTGGACCGACCCCAAGTAGGACTAGGCTTACACATTGTTTACAGGGAACAGTAGCTCAAGCTAAATTAAATTACTTACATTAAATTAAAATTCCCCAGCGTGAAATCCACTTGACTGAAAAAAACGAAACGAAACATTTCTGCTTCCAACGAAAGCAAAAAACCGACTGAAGTAAAGCTTCCGTTTTTGCTCGCAGGCTCTCAAGCCTTGAGCCACACAATGCTATCGCCGTGCGATGTTTTACTGTGTGATGTTTTTTCCTCGCAATGTTTTCTCCGCGAAGTTTCCTCAGCGATGTTTTGTTCGCGATGTTCTTTCTGCACACCGTCATGCCTATCGAGAAGTTCAGTTACGTATGTTTATACTGTGTCGAATGTCAACCGTTGGACAGCAAACCGATGAGAGTTTACGAGTACTAAGAGAGATAAACGAATAGTTAATTACTTTGGAGTTTTAACCATGATCATTTTTCGTGCATTGCATGTTACATTGCGGAAACTCAGCCATTAAAATATTAGACTTCTTACTGGAATAGCATATGTGTTCAACATGTTATATCCCCTCGAAACCATTACCTCCAGCCGAAACGCTTGTATTCCTGAGCTAATTCATGAAAATTTCACTTCATAGGAAGGGAAATACTTAAACGACTCGAAAATAAATTAGTGCCAGGTATGAGGAGCACTGCATGCATAAAAGTGATCGTGCCATGGATAGAGGCCTTCTATAACCGCCTTCGGTGTGGAAGCTCAGCAGAAGGCGGAAAAGGTGAAGAACGGGGTAACCCTATTTCAACGCCATGCCTAAGAGTGAAAAGACTCCAACGAAGCTGGAGGTGAATGGCTTTGCCATAGACTTCCAATCCTTCCGACCCCTGTAGGGAATCACATTCCCAGAGGCAATGAACGACCCCCATTACGGAGATGGTTTCAGCCTTTTAACTAGACTGGAGATGCGTCCGTCATAAAGATTCAGAATAAAAAATGATGAAATTGGAATTCCTCGAGGGAGAATATAAAGACGGCCTGGAATATACAGTGCTGAATATTTCCGTGCGGAAAAATGCCAAGAGATGATCTGGAACGCACCTGAAGGACTCTATTGGCTCCGACCTGTCCTCTGCTTGTCTGGAGTCCGCTTTCACTGGATCCTGATCTGTTTCTATTTCGCGTTCCCCGCTGGAAAAACGGTGATCCTTTATCTAGGGATATCCTTTTCGGCTCCTGTTCGTGCGGGATAAGACGTTTCCGCTGATTTCCTTCATGAGGAAATCCTTTTCATGAGGATTTCCTTTTCGATGTGACACAAGTGTTCCGCCTCTTTTCATTCTGTCTCTTATGTGATTTTCGAGTCTTCATTTTATGATGACCTCACGAACGATTCTCTATCTTAGATGGCAGCCAAGAAGCGAGCAATGGAATTTCGCTGTCATTTTTCGAAAATTTCAGATTCTTCTTAAATTTTTAAATATTCTTTTAAAAGTTACATCTAAGAGGCTGTAAAACCGAATTTCAACTAATCTGAAAGGAATTCCGGCTTATCCTCGCAAATCTCAAACTTCCCAAACTAAACGTCTAAACCGAACAAACATCTTCCAAAACTAAACGTCATGAAAAAAAAAATCCATTGTATGACACAATTCAAGAGGAGTACGGAGAATGATTGACTTATAACCTTGAACACGCTTGTGATCTGATACTGATTACCTTAATCCCAACCCACGTCAGAATCGTCCACTGTGGCTGGTGAACCGAATGATCCAATACGGATCACTCCATTATGGAATAGAGATTCAGCAAGCCGACAAGGTGTCCGATAAGCCTCTGACCATTAGGAATATACAGTATATTGAACCTCATGTTGGTGGAAAATGTTGCCAGGGAAATCAATAGGAAGAAAATGCGCTATTGCTCGCAATAGATGGGACGCCATTCATAAGACAGCAAGCACCTAAAAAACCTTTTATGTGGACAATGAGATGCAAAGGTTTTATGATCGTATTTCTTTGAGGGAACTTTAAATTTTTTGGGATAATTGTACATGTAAGTAGATGTGTGAATGCCTTCATGGTCTCAAAGTGGGTTCACCAGAGTGGTAAAAAAAGGTATCAAGAGGGTGCACCCCTCGTTTTGTATTACCCGTTTGCGGCTGGCTTGGTGAGAAAGCCTCGGGATCGATCCCTCCGACTAAATCGCTACTAAATGAGCTTTCCACTCATTCTCATGAAAATTCCGATTCATCGTCGGGGTTGGTTTTACTTGATTAAGTACTTGATTTTCCGTCTCATTCGGGGTTCCCTATGGGTGAA